TTAAACGAAATATCTTTAAATAAAGGGTTATAAAAATGTTTATAAAAAGCTTTCTTTTGAAAATTTTTAGTAAGTTTATATTCATACGCTTATAAACAACTTTTTTTGAACCTTTATTATAAGTTTACACTTTTACGCTTATAAAAAGCTTTCTTTTGAACATTTATTACATGTTTATATTTCTACGCTTATAACCAATGTTCCTTTTCGATTATATTACGCTTACTTTCAAGCGTTTTATAAACAAAAAATCAACGTTTTGTAAGCTTAATGTTTATAATTGAAAACTTAAAAAAAACTTTCTTTAAGTTTATTTTGCTTGTTGGGTACAAACACACGTGTCACTTATAAACAATTTCATTATGATTACTTAAACTTTTTCAAATAAAAGTATTCTTAAAAGTTTTGTTGTGTTAATAATTACTAATGTCAGTGCTACCTAACCTAATCTAACCTTTTAGAATTACCATTAATTTCGCTAAAGTTTTACTTAACACACAGCAACTAAAATTTATGGTAGACTAGAGCTGTCCCGTACAAACAGGCAATTTATTTGGGATCCTTCGGGCCCACGCGAATATTGCAGCAAAGAATTTTTTGTTTTTGGTTACTACTTTATAATACAAACTTAATATACTATCTAAATACTTCGCTTTTTAACTTTTTACTTTTCCTTTAATTAGAGCCGTAAACTAGTAAATTCGTAAGCTTTGTTCCGTACGAACGATGGAGTACTCCTTTTAGGAAACCACTAAAATTTTTGATATTTTTCACTCGGCTTCAATTCAGTTTGAAATGGAGTTTACTAGCTTTTCGCGTTCTTTCCGTTTTCCAAGCTCCCGTACGTGCCATTCTAATATCTAGGTTCACTTTTGTGAAAGCTCATATTGATACAGGGAGCAAGATAAATTAAAAATGCAGTTTCCAAAAGTATTAAGGCACTTGTTTTATCTCTTCCCTTTTATATTCAAAGAAAGACAAAATTGTAAAGTCCAAAAGAGGAACGGCAAATTCTATAAGGCCAATATGCTCGTAATACGAAATCTTTTAATTAATGGCGAATGCGTCTTTAAACACGCAAAATTTATTTTTTTTTTCGTCTCCTATAAATTTTGTATAATTGGCGATATATGCACATATGTATATACTATCAGGCAGGTTTTGCCATTCACTTCCGAGTGAATTTCAACCCCTAGTAATTTGAAACCAAAGCGAATTAGAATGAAATTTACTCGGAAGTGAATTGCAGAACCTGCCTGTATATCTTGAAGAAATATCCGATTCTAGGCAAGGTTAAGTAGACACTACAACAGTGGGGAATACGAAACCTGAACGGCGCTAGTTCGTGTCTGGACAAGGACCGTCACTTCAATAGCATTTCCAAAGAGAATTCATATGTTGTTACAACTGCCATGATCAAGAGATTAGTTCCATAGTCATCACAAGATTAGGGGACAACCTGCCGCGAAATCAGGATATCGAAATACTGGTACTAATGACAAGTTAAGTATAATTTTTTATTTACTTAATTAAAATTATACAAAAAGTTTAACTTAACAAGATTGCAGGCTTAAGAAGGCATATTTACAAATGTTCACTGAGATAAGTAATACAATTTTATTTTTAAATAAATACTTAAAAAGACATGGCCAACACAAGTACGCTTAAGGCATATCGTTTGCAAAATGTAGTTGGCCACTAGATGTGAACGCTTTACTTATTTTTCTTGCCCCCGCCCCGCCGAACAGGCGCTTGCTCTACGGCAATAGCATTTTTATTGTGATATTTATTAGATATGCGATTTATAAAGTACAAAGCGCCGATACAAAATATAATGCTGAAATAGAAAACATATCAATTAACTGACCCGATCATAACCATTGATGTACATACCATGTTGTGGCACAAACTCGATGTACCACCCCGGATGCCACTGTAGCCAGCGATAAGCAAGTCAATATTTCCGGTATGAACTTAGCTTGGAAGTCATTGCCGAATACAAGCATTTCCATATTCGACACAGCAGTAAGCGCGAACACAAATAACCACGAACCAATGAATCCACCAACAATTGTATTCATTTGGGTATCTGTGATCCAACCGGAGTAGAACCGCATAGTGGCGAATATGACCAAACTCAGTATGCAGGATATCACTGCCGAAACGAGATTACTGCTACCACTCTTGGTTTCCACACCTGTTTTCGTGCAGTAAATAATTGTTAAATAACACGGATTAATATATGTATATGCACTTCGCTAATTCTATAAGAATTAATTATAAACTTACCCATTTTGGAACTACGATAGATTTAACTCACAAATTATTAAAAACGCCTACGTTGAATTTTATCAAAAGCCGACTCAGCTTCCACAATTGCAAACAAAGCGCAGGGTTGCATTTCAAGTGTATTGAAATTGTGGACCCCGTAAACCCTGTTTTCAGATAAAGTAATCTATGCCATATGGTAAGTTCTATGGTGAGTAACTTTTTTGAAATGGTGAATAATCAATCCGCCTCCCTCAGACGTGGTAAACAAATCGAACAACAACAACAACATATATCGATATCATTATTTTATCGAGCAAGAATAAAAAATCAAAATACATAATATCGTTCCGTTTCAGAGCTACATAAGTAGAGCTACATAAGTTAACGAAATTAAACACAACTTTAACGTTGGCTTTATGCCAATCGGTAACTTTCTTCTCCGTGGTGAAACAGGTTGGAAAAATGCATTGTGGTGTACAAATAAATTGAATTTTGCTGTGTCGAATTTTTAGTTTGATCTTTCAAAATTTTCCATCACAACTTGCAATGTTGTATGTCCAGACCACCATTTTTTTCTATCAATTGGCACAGGCTCTATCCAGTTTATTTCTATTAGAAGCAAATTAAGTCCAAAGTTTGTTTAGATCAAAAGTAAAACAAAAAAAAAATCAGTGAAAAAATCACACTGGCTCTTATTTTAATCTCAAATTATTGCATTTTTCGGAAACTTTTATTGAGGTCAAGATTTTTTTGAAATGAAAAAGCCGGTTAGAAAAATCAAGATTTCAAAAAATCCACCAAGAGATATCAATAAAAAAAAAGGTGGAAACCAGTTTGGATAGACCGAGTCAATCACCCTAGTGCAAATACATATGGGATCCTCAAAGTGATAAACTCCTGATAAACTTGATAAAGTGATAAATTTAACATTTTGATAAATGAAGTGTCAAACTTTGTATGGAAATCTATTTAACCAAAGTTTATCACTTTATCAAACGATTTGGTGGATAAATGTGTACCCTGCAGTAATAAGGCGGCCAATTTTGCGTAAAGGACTAGTACTTCACTGGTTAAAATTTGACTGGTCAGAATTGGAGATTTGCTTGCATCGAAAATGTCAGCCTTCGACAAGTCCCCAAGGAACCGGCCTAGAGATAGACGAAAAGTACAGTTTAGCAGTGACAGGGTGGTGTTGTCTTGCAATTAAATAAAAAAAATTTAAAGAACACCACCCTGTAAATGTCCCAATCGCTTGGTCTGGCCTTGATACAAAGTGAACATTTGAACACACATTTACATGCGTGGCTGTAGCTCAGTGCGCAGAGATGCTTGGCACTATTTGTTAGCTTTCAGGAGGGTCCGGGTTCAAATGCCGTCAGAGGCAACATGGTTATTAAATGATACATTTTTTTTTTGTTTTTCCGAATTATGAAAAAGCATCTGCGAAGTGCAGAATGCAATCTTACTTCAACGAAAAAAATCTCCAAAATTGGACTAGTCCAGGACTATCTTACGGTCAGTGTTGATTGGACCGGTCCTTTTCCAATGACACGCCAATGCAAAAAATGGCAGTTAAAACCATTGGCAGGGGAATTATGAGGGACTAGTGCTGGTAACAATACGGACTATCTGAGGGCTAACCTAGGATGAGTCTGAATTCCTGCAGGGTAAATTTCAGCAAAATTCAACCCCTACAGGTTGACAGGTATTTGCTTTTGCCACGAACACATAAAAGCACATGAACACAATGGACGAGAATCAAGAGTAACTAGCCATATAAGTTAAATAATAAACAATTAAATGAATAAAAAATAATGCAATTATTTACTTAGGTGCGCTCTTAAAATAATGCGGATAAACTGATAAATTTAAGGAATTTTTTTTTATCACTTTAGATGAAGACCCCTATACATTTTTTGGTCTCCTTCTTCATTTTTATTGTATGCCAAAAAATAAATATTTATTCACTTCAATGTCGTCATGCCTTAAGTTTTAACTGTAAATCGTGGTATTTGGACAATCTTCAGTTGTTTTAAATTACCTCCTAGTACAAATTACAGTTTTGTCAAAAGTTCATATTTGAAAGAATAAATAAAAATATATCTTTTGGCTTTTAGAAGTGAATTTTTATTTGGATAAAAAGATTCATCTGCATTCCAATCATACGGTTAAAACCTTTACATTCCAAAAATGCCTTCGTATTTAAAGCCTTCCTTTTTTTTTTGTTAAAATAAAGTTTTCTTAGGAATTTACAGTTTTTGAAAAATAAAATCAGCACGCGCTGTTCAGCACATAACTTTAAAAATTTGCTATTCCCCAATGCTGTAGGCAGTTTGCCACTTCATTATCGCCTTAAAAATGGATCTGCAGTATTGGGGAATGTTGCGTGGGTGTTAGGGGTGCCTGCTATTCTTTTGGAGATTTTTGGTAATCAAAATTAGCGATAACAAATGTTGGCTACTGATTGCATTTAAGATTTGTTTGCTTTTTTTTAAGGTTTAAAATTTTTCAAATAGAGCTTTAACGATATGTGCCCTGAATGTACATATGTATGTAAATAAGTAAAAGCGTTTTTTTCCAAAACGATCCCCCAAAAACTCGCAATAATAAAAACAGTATGGCACCGCATTGTTATGACCACAGGTATTTGGGAGTCAGATGTTTGCTTTACAAAAAAGCTCCACATGCGAACCTGTATTAAGCTCCATTCAGTGGAAATACCAATTCCATTCATTGCGCTTTGCTCCACATTCGCTGAAAATCCAAAGTCTTTAGTCGCGAAGAAAATTCGTGTATTTCATATTCAAAATTAAAATTATAGTGGAAAACAAAGCCTAATAATTACAAAATCAAGCACAAATACAAGTTCAAATGAAATACTAACGAAGTAATTAGAAATTTTGTGAATTATATTGAGTTGTGCATTGAAAAAAGTGAAAATTTCGCAAACGACTTTTGTATTTGACTTCTTTCCATTTTCTGCTTCTTTCTCTACACAGTTTCCTCATATTTTGTGCACCCACTTTTTGTGCAAATAGTAAGGAAAAGTTTTTCGTTGGAAAATTCTTCCAGAGCGAATTATAGAATTTCTGCTGGAATTTGCATTTTATTAAAAGTCAGAGGAAAATATTAGATAGAAGATATGTTTGCAAAATAAGAAAAATATATAAGATGTCGGAAAAATTTTTCATACCTTCTTGCAAGAGCACTAATAATACTAAAATATAAGTATGTAAATGCATTTGTACATACATACATATTTATGTATGTAATTAACGAATCTCGAATGTGAGAAGATCAAGAATTTGTGGTGTCTGCGCAAACGAACGAAGCACCAAAAAGCAATCGAATATGAGTAAAGGAATTTAAGTCGAAAGCAAATATTGAAGTAGTGGAAGAAGCATTTAGATACGAAGCTCTAATGGACAAACGAAGCATAGTGACTAGGGACAATGGTATATAAAAAAAAAAAAAACGAAAACAAATTTATCCAAGTACAACCAAGAAAAACCTTTGGAATTAAACATTAAGACATCTAATAAATTAAGTGTGGTAAATACCTTAATAAGTAAATACTACCATAAGTGAGCGTGTGTTTGTGTACGCGCGCAAATAGGAAGGGGGAAGTGGAAGTGAAATACCTTCCGTTCTTTTTCCACTCTGCTACATATTTCTTTCTAATATACCAACATTAGAAACAGCAAAAAAAAACGGGAAGAACGTCAAAAGTGGAGGAAGGAACCCAACTATTAAGACAGCCAACTAGCTAGCCACCAAGTCTTCAGTCAATCAAGTTACCAAGAATGAGAATAAGGCCAGAAGCATGAGGCAAAGCAAGAAGTAAAGTAGCAAATTAAAAGTAGCGAGGAAAAATACCTACATACATACTTACTTAGTATAACAAAACTAGCAACCCAAAAGCACAAGAGCAAAAGTACTCATGTGAGTATGTATGTATGTACATACATATGTTTGTAGCATATGAACGCATCTACATTTGTATTTACATATATGTACATATGGTGTACATATATACATACATACATACTACGTGTGTATGTACAAATTTAGAAGATAACATAACAAGTTAGACACAGCCACAAATTCATATGAGCCTCTAGCCAAATAAATATCACTGCATTAGCGTTGACGAAAAACAGTTGCAACACTGTCACAATGTTTTTGTTTTTAAGAAAATAAAATTTTTTAGTGTAATTGCATAAATATAAATTCAAGGATATACATACATATGTATGTATGTATGTATGTATCAACTTGTCTATTTTCTATACATACATATGTACATACACATACATACTATGTAGTATGTAGATTCTTATTAACTAGAGCTGCAGTTACAAATAAGCAAAATCCTGAACAACAGAACCTAAAGTGGCAACCAAAAAGAACCTGCAACATTATGATTTAATAAGCAGCAGCAGGAGTAGAAAAATAGCATAAATCTCTTTCGCGAATACAAGAAACAAAAATCATAATGCACATAGTATGTATGTAAATGTAACGCACAATACGATAAAAGTGTTGCGACGGCGAACTTGAATTGACATTAAATGGGCAAAGTGCGCAACAATCGCACAAACGACGAACGAAAGCAGCATCAACGGCAACGGCAGTATCGACAACAGCAGAGGCACAAACATAAAAGTGTAATTAGGTGAATTACACACACACGCACACAATTGAAACAGAATAATTTTTATGAATTGGATTCATTTGCCACTTGAAGGCGAAAGTGAATGCGAAAAAGTACACAAAGTGGAAGCAGCAAACAAGAAATTCATATACATATATGTATGTGTATTTAACACAAAAAAAATAAAAATACTGTGCAATATAGTATGCATGTATGGTTAATAAATTATTTTAATATCAATACCGCAGAAAAAAACGAATATTTACAATTGAATCCACCCAAAAATATCTAAAAAAAAATATTTAAAAAATAACGTAAACGCTTGCATTCGTTAAATTATCAGTGATCGTGTTTTAAAAAAGGCGCACGCGCGCCCCACCGTTTCTCTACAGCAGCAGCAGAGTAAAATTGTGCGTGTGCGTGTGTGTGTGTGTGTGTGTGTTACTGTGCGCGCAACTCGAGAGGATTTCCGTTTCATTATCACCTTTTGAATTGGTCTTCAATTGTGAGTTCCGGTTTACACATACATACATACATATCTACATAAGCACTGTATTTACATATATAATCCATTTATTTCGTGTACACAGGATATACTTTTCGAAACATTTTGTGAAACTGCAAACGCGACATCTGCCAACGATTAGTGCGATCCCACAACTTCCGTTTAAATATCGTTCCTAAGCTCGTTCATTGTGCACAACCTTTGCAGTGGTATCCTTTCCATTTGAAACGCTTTTAATAAATTTGATCTACACAATGTTTACGGGAAAATTACAAATAAAAGTTTGTGAGGCAATCGGGCTACGACCAACCGATTTTCAAAAGCGCCACAATTTGACATTCGGAAAGTTGGCCGACGAACAGCCGATCGATCCTTACATATCGATCGATGTCGACGATAATCATTTTGGTAAGCACAATTTATCGGTATCTTTTAGTGTTAAAATTTTCAATTTGCGTACGAATAGTGACCGATTTTTTAATAATTTTTTTAATCTGAAGAAATGTACCGCAACTGCTGCAATAGTTAAAATATTTAATGTTAACTTATTGAAAGGTCGACGTTCAATGATAATTTTCATTTTTTAACAAACAACCAACGATAAAATACTTGTTGGTATTAGTTTGTACCAAAAACCACACAGTTAAGTCTTAGGTGGATTTTTATATCAGAATCTGACTTTTGTGAAAAGTCCAGATAGAGGGTATTGAATATACATAAGCCCTCGATATTAATTTTGTCATCTGTGTTGATCTTTGCTACAAACGGGCATTTCCATAATGTCGAAGATGACCATCGAACGTAATCTAAAACTTTGTTTTTTTTTTTTACAATAGGCTTAACTTATAGCTCTTAATTAGGTGCCAATTTTGAATTTGGGCAATTTTTCGTTTTCAAGTTAATTGCAAAAACTAAGGCATTCGCACGGGATAAAAAAAAACAGAAGTGGTTTTCGCGGCCAACAATTCAAACGCCGATTTCAGTGAAACCTTTCAATGTGACTATAGAACGTTCTGCATTGATGTCTCTTTAAAATGGTTTTGATATTACCCAAAAATGATTTATGTATTTTTTTTTTTTTAATTTAATTTTAATCACTCTCGCACGCGATATTTCTTTCCATCGTGATATTTTCTCGTTAAGATTGCTTTTAAACGAATTTTTTAAGGCAATTAATACATGAATTTATATCGAACACACTTGGTCACTGGGGTGTAGTGGTTAGCAGTGCGCGCTACCATACCGAAGGGCCTGGGTTCAAGCCCGGTTCGACCCAACATCAAAAAATAGGAGGCGACATAAAACTGTAGGTCCTCCATTTTGTGTAATAACATCAAGACGCACAGCACAAATTGCAGGAAAAGCTGGCCTAATACTTAGCAAAAGTATAAGCGCCAAAATATTATTATTAATAAAAAAAAATATATACATATTTTTATTATGTACATTTGTCACCAAATTAAAGGGAGTGCGATATTTTGAAGTTTTGAATGTATTTCTTTTATTTGTTTAATATGTAATAATTTTTATAAAAGTATTATCTAGCAAAAATCCCATAAATACGAATTTAAAATTTTGTACAAATATAAAAAAAAATTCGAAATTTTTACCAAAAGTTTTATTGGCTATTGTACTTTAGTAAAATAAAGTGCAAGCTTGAAGTTGTTAACATTGCATTTAGAATTTGATTTATTAACGGTGCTAGGCATTTTCAAATATAGAAGAAAATACGTCAACAAAAAATTATTCAAAATTAATGAATGCCAAATTGTTCTAAAAATTCTGAATAAAAATTTAGACATTTTTGTGAAAGTTGGTACAAAGATTCAAGTTCGGATTTATGTGGTTTTTGTTAGATAATGAGCTATGCTTCTATAAAAAAAATTAATAAGCATCAAACAAACAAAAGAAAAATAATTTTGGGAACAACTACATATATGAACATATACATACATACATATGTACATATGTACATATGTACTTATGTTTCATACATTAATTTTCACTTTAAAAAATACAACTTTTTTTAGATCGCTCTACAACGCGACCCAAGACATTCGATCCAGTTTGGAATGAGCAATTCGTTCACGATGTTACCAATGCAAAAAATATTAATTTGACGGTATTTCACGACGCAGCGCTGCCACCGGATGATTTTGTTGCCAATTGTCAAATACCTTTTGAAGATATTATGCAAAATGAAACGGGTGTACTTGATTTATGGGTAAGCAAAAATTTTGATATTAAAAAAAAAAAAAAAAACAGAACTAAATCGAATTCGCATTGCAGGTGAATTTGGAGCCACAGGGTAAACTACATATTATAATCGAATTAAAGAATCGAGTTGGTATGTAATTTTTTAGGTTTTTCTTTTTTTTTTTTTGGAAGCGCACATACCCATTGATAAACTTTTTCTTGATATAGATTCCAATAAGGATGTTGCTGAAGTGGTGGAAGCGGTTACCCAAAATAAAGAATTCAAAGAGCGCGCTGGTTTCAATCGCCGTCGCGGTGCCATGCGGCGGCGTGTGCATCAGGTTAGAAATCATTGCGTATGCCAAATAACAACATATCCCTAGCTTAGAGTGAAAAGTTGCCCGATTTAAAAATTGTACAGCAGAGGAAAAAACTTGTTATAGCCATTTTCTTCAAGTATTTCTCAAAACTTTTAATACAACATTTTGCCTGTTTAAAGAAAAAGCAAAACTCCATACGAATCAGAGGGATTCGATCTATATGAAAAGATTTCGTAGCCTTATTGAATTTTCGGGTTTTTTTTTTGGACTTGGCAAATTTCCCTTACATTGAATATAAGCGAGAAAACCTAAAATGAGGACCTTTAATCTTTTAGAAATGATGGATTTTTAATTTCTCTAGCCTCCTGTATCAAAATATCTGTTTTCATAAAAAGCGGACTTAGCAACTTTTCACTCTAAGCTAGCGGTACTATCTTTTGTATTCATTACTTCTCCTAACCCATTTATGTATTTCGAAATCCGTGTTATTTTTTTACATGTGTAGAACGAATTATATGTTCATACATATGGATCATTATTTTGCAAATCGTACGGATTTAAGGAACAAATATCACTGTTTAAAAGGGAAAAAAACATTTTGGCACTTTCGAAAATTTTGCTGACACTTATGTACTACATTAGACTGCATCACCAAAAAAAGTTGTGGGCTTCTGGCCTATTATATTTTAAGACTTCTACCAAAATATTTCGGAAAGTATTAAGATTTAAGTGAGCTAGACCGGTTTGAAAATACCTCTAAAATTGCAGTTTTTTTTGAATAAAAAAAATAAAAAATCTACATAAAAATATTAAAATTTTGTAACAACGGAATCATAATAACGAGAGTTTTGATGCTGTTTTTTTTTTTTAATTTTTTCAAAGAGTTGAGTAAGAAAAAAATTGTATAACTGCTCCAAAAGTTTACCGATATAGACTTATGAGGTATCAGTGGAAATGTATTTTCTCACATTTTTTATTTCTTTGCAAAAAAACTCACGTCCCAACTTTTTCTTTATCAAATACCAACACATCTTAATTCAACATGGAATGACACCCGTTTATCTTACCTTCCTCTTTCATACTTTGAATGAGCTTATCCGCAAAGAAATTAAAAAGGTGAGAAAATACCTTACCAATTATACCTCGGAAGTCTAAATTGGTAAGGTTTTGGCTGAGTTATTCAAGTTTTTCTTAAACCAGTCTTTGAAAAAAGTTCAAAAACAGCATCGAGAATCGCATTATTACGATACCGTAGACAATTTTTTTTTAATATTTGTATGTAAATTTTTTAAGCTTAAACTGTTTGGTCATCTGAGGTGATTAAAAAAAAAATTAATAAAAAAACTAAATTTTTGGAGGTATTTGCAATTTGCAGTCATCTGCAAATGTGTCAACCTTTAATATAAAAAATCATACATAAATACATACGTAAATACATAGATAGTAAAAAACATTATTTATTTGCTCTCTTAACAGGTAAACGGACACAAGTTTATGGCGACTTTCTTGCGACAGCCGACTTTTTGTTCACATTGCCAAAAAATTTATTTGGTAAGTACATGGCGCATATTTGCCACAGAAAAGTCAACGCATGCGACAAATCGCTGTGGCGTTGGAGGTATAAAATCATCCTTACCATAAACCTGCTATTTACCATAATCATATTAAAATATATTCTTAATTTATACGCTCATAACAGTGAATAACTGTATTTAGTTACTATCCTTTTCACCATTTGGTTATCGCAGTATAATTTGGTCACATTACACTTCCTGTTCTTATTGAATTTTCTTGTTTTCACAACTATTTAGCCAATTAGAATGGATTTTTTTTTTTTTGGGTAAAATTAGGTAATTATTTCAAAGTTTAATTTTAAATTTATTTGGTACAAAGAATACTTATCTACATACATACATATATATACATAAATATTAAATGTTTTATGTTATATTTGTTTGGTGCGAACATAGACATGTACATGCATACAAACATACATATAAGTATTTTTATTATTTATTTGGGTGTAGTTTGGCGCTGGATAAACAAAATTACAAAAAACTATTGCTAAATTCACTTTGTGCTGATTTGCGCTTCCGACGAAATATTATTCATATTCTGCTTTCTCCTTTGAATAATGCTGGGCCATTTTTTTTTTTTCAAATAAAACGAAAAATATTTATGTATAGAGTATGATTGAATATTTTTTGTCAAAATGGTCCATTTCACTAGCGGTTTAGTACTA